TGTACCTCTGGAATTATAAATTATGATTGCTGTATTACAAATTATTAAAACAATAAGGCTATCATTCTTTCCTATAGAAAGCATATTTGAACTGCGAGTTTTTTTCCAAATGGTGAACATGTGAAGATTTGATCAACCTTAAGTTGTATTGTATCATAAAAGAACATCAGTTAGAAAACTTTTAAAAAGCACTGAGTCGTCAAGAGTAATTTAGTCGTAATTTGGGGACACTCCATTATCGCGGCCAACATCGGACAAGCACACAGTAATTTAAACATTTAGTTAAAGTTTTAAGACTCTTTAAATGATGCTGGATCAGTATAGAAGATTGGTAGAAGTGCATGTTCACAAACAGCCAGATTTCAACCCATGTTTTTTTAGCCCTAAGTTGCTCACCTCTTAATCTGACAGACACTAGGTTGATGTATGACGTCGTCACGCGTTTACAATACCAAACAGCTCTAAATGAAGGTGAAATCGATGTTTGATTAACTCTAGTTCCCAACAGTTCCTCAAATTTTAACAAATTACACCTTATAATAAGTGAAATTACCACAAGTTCAAAATACCAGTGGATAAATGTAGTGCATAAAATCCAGTTAACGGAGAGTTCTTAGACAACTGAAGTATAAATTTACATTGTAAATTAATCAAGCTGTGCTGAGAAAATCACACGTATATCGGAATGTGAAATTCGGTGACAGAAGTTTTAAATATACTGACATACTGATACTTTCACTATATTATTTATATTACTGAATAATCTCATTTGAAAACCTTACCGACTTTCAGTTTCTCAATTGAAATTGAAGTTAGAATTCAAGGACCATTGGATCGGGTCCCAGTGGCTTAATGGTATACGAGCTCACCTTGTAACGAGAAGGTCCTGGGTTCGACTGTTGGCGGTGGGTTCGTGCTGATGAAGAGTCCCAAACTAGGACGAAACAGCTGTCAAGTACTCCCAGGTTTTCCAATGGTTCTCTAACTAATGTCAGCTCATGATGAAATCCTGAAATTAAATGTGTTATTGTACCTAACTGATGGTATTTGCATAACGTATATTTAGAGTTATAAAATGATTTTATAAGGAAAAACAAACCTGCATCTGCCACCTGTTACAAAACCTAGCTCCAAGGCTTCCTGCCAATCACCCTCAACAATCTAACATCATCAAATCAATGTGCCGCATGATGGTGAGCTATCTAGAATGGTGACTACATTGTAAACCTGACTGATAGAATACAGTCTACACCAGAGAAAGGACTAGACACACCACACTAGTTACAAGTGCCCAGCGAAATTACCCAACACAGTCCTACTGGAGGTCAATCTCGAGCCATCCCGAATAGCTCAGTGGTAACGTCTCTGACTGCAGCCTCACTGGGTGACGCAGGTTCGAATCTCAGAAGAGACATGAGTTCCTTGAAGTTTACAGATACGCCTTGCTGACTGGTGAGTGCTAACTAGCACGAAACTTAGGTCAGACAAGGCTTCCTGTGGCCGATTGCCTCTAACTATCTAATATCAAGGAAAATCACTACAGTCATTTCAGATGCTGTTTGAAATGAAACCATATTTCAATGCTTCCGATATAAGCACTGTCACAATTGTCATAGAATACAATGATTTTTATGTGAGGTACAATGAAGGATACTTTAGTTCGTGTAACTGTTAACTAACATTTGATTTTAATTGTACATGACCTACCCGTTCACTGTTAACACCTTATGCTGTTTCTATTAATTTTAAGTTGTCACTGTTGCGGAATACAGAAAAAAATTTATATATCTCTAGTGTGTGTTCACTTCCAAAACATTAAACAAGAATTTCAAGTTTTAGAATGTGACATCTGTGAATTCGTCTGCATAGCGTTCGTATTATACACACTTTTGTGGAAAGCACATTATTATTAGGAGATAGCTAGATTACAGTGAGTTGAGTTTGAGAATACATATTTTATGAGTGGATTACTGTGGGACTTGACTATCTGTAGATCTGTAGAAGGGTAGATTTTAATATTTATTTATGCAATAAATACTCCTAAATGTTCAAGTGTTGTTGGTTGGTAGGGACTTTGATTGATTGATTGATTGATTGGTTACGGGATTTTATCATGAACTGACACTTGAATATCGATGAGACGCTCACTGGCGAATTGCCCTATTCAGGTAGGCAGTTACCTGGGGTTCTGGTGTGAAGTCGTGACCAGTAGGGTGCAGCAGGTCAGGTGTCAGGGCAAATACTCACCGAAGACATTGGCTAGCGGTCACGCTATATCGTGAATTAGCAGAAGTTATAATTCATGGGCTGGCCATTGGATCGCGTCCCAGTGGCTTATTGGTCTAAGAGCTCGCCTTGTAACCAGGAGGTCCTGTGTTCGACTGTTGGTGGTGGGTTCGTGCTGATGAAGCGTTACAGACTAGGCTGACAAAACAGCTAGCTGTTCAGTACTCCCAGGTTTTCCAATGGTTCTCTAACTGATGTCAGCTCATGATGAAATCCTGTATCTCTGAAATGCTTATTACCATGGAATTTGAAAAAAACTTTCATTTTTCCTTAAAATCAACCTCTTGACATAATGGAGAGCTTCTTAATAATCAGACTCTGTAGTTTTCATTTAACAGTAGAAATAATTTAAATATTTGTCTGACTAATCAAAAATGTCAAAATATTTGTATTTTACATCCTAATGTTTAATGTGGACATCCTACCTTATGTATACATACCTTGTACTCACAACCTAGTCTAAGAAAGTCAGATTGTAGTCGGTTAAAAATTGTAACTATTTTACTTGACGTAAAAACTGACAAACAGCCTACTTATACCTCTGGAAATCTTGTCTATATATCAACAAAACAACAAGTTTCCAAACTAACTGTTCTCCTAAAATACAAGAAAACATACCGATACAAATAAACATTTATTATGGCGTAATATGATTACTTCTACTAAAATTGTATCGCGTATTTGCGGCACACTCAGTCTGGAAAGAATTTCAAGCAAACTAGAATTATGAATTTTATTTTGAAGGCAGTAAATTTTTGGATAAGAATTTCAAGCTGATTGTTTAGATATTAGCAATTTTAGTTTTAAGATTTCTAAAATTTATGTTACTTTCAATTTGTACTCTGTCATCAGCGTAAATCAAATTCATCACACACTGAAAGGCTGCATAGGTGCTTAACACTGATGACAAACAGATGTATAAAAAGCTTTCAAGGACATACTATTTGTCTATTCTGAGTTTTGAAGCTGAAAAATATACTCTAGGTTAGCAACAGAAGTATCCGTAGCAACCCTTATGACAGAAATCTGTGTATTGACTTCACTTGAAAAATGTTTCCTAGAGAAATAAAGATTAGATTCATAACAGAGAATACGTTATTTTCTCCAGGCTGACAACATCTTCAAATTATAGTTACGATGGGAAGAAAGAACAGCACGTAAAAAAAGGTAAACAAAAACTTAAAGTACCATAATACAATAAGTATTGGGAGAATCCGCAAAATTAGTAACCAGAATACAGTGTTATTAGCGTTATTTATTCAATGGACTTACTGATTAAAGTCCGATTCCACTCCTTAACTATCCCATGAGTTGTGGTTTTAATCATAATCACATTTAATATGACGATAAACAATTAATTTTTATTCAGAATAACTACCGGGTGATGGAATTGATAACTGCTCACTAAGAAAGATTTCAGTGTTTTTCGCCTCGTGATGTAGAATAGTTTATTAACATGGATTGAATGGTAAATTAATATAATTTATTGACCTTTAGATTATTTTTTTTTCGATTACAGCTTGATTCCACACCGTATTTTTGGTACAGGTATGGAATTTTCAGCATGTGATATCGGTAGTCCAAATTTCGCTGTCCGACCATAGGTGTCAGTTGTGCGTCGGCAGGGGATCGTGACCGGAACCGTGTGCATAGTCGGCGAGAATCCTGACGACTGTGCCACTGACGCACACTCGTGTCACTAAGAATGATTTTTTATTGTATTTTATTCCTTTAAGTTTCGATTGTAACATACGGCTTCAAGCTAGATTTTTGAAGTTTCCACATCAGTGGTGTTATTTACTGACCTTAATACTTGGTTAACGAGGCAAAGGAGTGCGTCAACTGGGGAGTGAACCCCGGACCACATGAGTCGTGGCTAGTGAACGTTCTACCACTGGAACGTTGACGCGTCACTAAGGGTAATTTTCGTGTTCAACCTCAAACGTTTAGGGATCCAGGTCACGTGGATTGGAAAGGAATTTATTAACCTCGTGAATCTCTGCGATAACTCAGACTGTGTTACTTGCCAGAAGTTCCAAGATTTCAAGAGTGACGATTTTTAAATCTGGTTGCAGATGTCAAAATAAAAAGCTTACTAGACTTTGTTAATGAATTCTAATGAAACAGAACAAAATGTACAGAATTCAGCTGCATGGTAAAGTTTTATTTACGATAAGGTGTTTTATACGAAAAAAAATTGGATATTTGTCCAAGTAACTCAGCACTAAATTGCAGTAGTATTTCACTAATATTTTGAAATATCCCTTTTTATCAAGAATGTTTTGACTGACAGGAAATATGAGCTTCAAGCTTTGATTTTTCTCTAGTGTTTTTGTTATTTTTAACAGGTAATGCCTATGGTCTGACGCACAACCTCCCCTCATTTCTTGGGAATAATGCCTGCCAGACACCTTAAAGAGGTTAAGTCGAGTTAAATGCAACCCTTCTGCATGGCTGACTAGCACTCTATCATTTTGTCTGTCTTTTGATTGATTGAAAACTACAGACTCCAATTGCGTTCCATTCATCGCATACAGCTTAAGGTTGAAGCGTTCAGTATAGATGCTTTGTGCTACCTGTTCTGTACAGAACATTCATTAGAAGCTATTCTTCAAGGGTTTCTTTTAAACACGAAATATTACATAAGAAAGAGATGATTCGTAAACATTAAAGCATGCATACAAAAAATATATGAAATAAACGAATGAACTTACTCAAAGGAATATAAATAGTCATTATAGTTTTCTATGAAGTCGGTTGTATTTACCATAAGAATAATTTGTAGTGCTGTATGTATACTCTTGTCTATATATTGCTAGTGATATCAGTCAATCATGTGACAATTTTATTTTTGCTTTTGTGTTTAAGATGCCCAAACCACAATTATGCGTGAAGCGTTTATTGTTTATCCAACTGAGATAATTAGAATTCAAATTACAAAAGAGATTGAATACCTGAAAAGCACTTCTCTACTTAACTGACGGTAATAAACTTGTGCCACATAATAATAATAATAATAATAATAATAATAATAATAATATGAACCAACCAGTAAACATGCATCAATACAATGCCTAGAAATGATTTGAGTGTCTAAACCAATGAGAAACTTGTGATTATTGTTCCCTATTATATACATACAAAATAAAATATAAAACTTAAAAGACAGACACGTTCCCTTTCTCTGTGTATATGTATATATATAAATATATATGTACTCGTTTGTAAGTTATAAAAAACTGGATAATTTTTCTGTCATTAAAAAGGGAAACATTTTTGAAGACTAGAATTTTGCAATATCGAGTCCTATATTGAGATTTATCAATCTGTGTGAGGAGTGTCTGCTTTCCTGTGCTTTGTGCACTACCTGAGAAAATGATGTCAGGAGCATTATATTTATTATCCAGGATTTTTATAGAATGGAAATAGTGAGGTGACTACTTTTTATAAATTCTCAGTCACGTTTCTTCGGATGACAGATTATCCATCCCAACTAAATACACACTTCAAAACATTCTTGAAAATATTTAAAACTTTAGAATAAAATTTGAAATATGTTTTCAAATTGATCAGTTGCTTTTTTATAACTCTTGAGTTGGCCAAGTTAAACTTTAAGCACCACTGACTAACAATGGAGTGTGACCGCACCAGTGATCTTGAAACACTCACTCAGCAAGTTAGTGAAACCTGACAAATAATGCTATCATCATCAGTAAACTATGCTCATCGAGGTGTCATACTATTCAACGGGATATCTGGAAAGTTTCAGCTTAGGTTTGCGAAAGATTAAGTTCTGGTTTAGGTGAAGGTGAAGCTGTCTTCGCTCAATACTCAAGATCAGATGGCCAGAAAAGATCAGCAGCAGAAATCTCTGGGAGCGAACCAATCAGGAACCGATTGTGAAACAAATAGGCAGGAAGAAATGGAGATGGATTGGCCATACTTTGAGGAAACCATCAAGTGACATCATTAGACAAACCCTTGAGTGGAACCCGAAAGGGAGGCGGCGAGTTGGTCGTCCAAGGGTGACTTGGAGGAGGTCATGTGAGGAGGAAATGAAGGCATGTGGACAGACCTGGAGCAGGGTGAAAAGGTTTTCAGAAAACCGAAGGCAATGGAGGTGCGCAGCTGAAGCCCTATGTTCCTCTAGGAACTAAAGGATACAATAATATATAAATAATTAGGTGAAGGACAAGGTAGGGTTAGGTTAACCTTTCAAAGGTGACATTAGGTTTAGTTCAAGTTCGATTAGGGTTAGTTTAGAGATATTTTCACGTTGAGGCTAGTTTTAGGAAAGATTAAGGTTTAAAAACCTAAATAATTACATGCATAAAATGTGATTAAATTACTCTTTTGAACTTGTGCACTGTTGTGGTAGAGTATAATCCCGTTGTGGGTAAAAATTTATTTTGATAAAGTCTCACAATGTTATGCAGTAATATTTACTGATGACGTTTCGAGCACGGTTAATTGTCCGGCTAATGTTACTGCATAATTATACGTAATTATTTCCATAAAGTCTTACAGTTCTGTGAGATTTCATCAGAATAAATTTTTACCCACAATGGAATTATACTCTATTGATACTCCAGCCCAAAAAGTGAGAGTTATTTGTATCAAATGTCAGAGAAAGGTATCCTCTGTAACACTTTGATACAGTTTTTAGCAGTTTTTTTCCAGGAATACATGTATTCCACAGACAGAAATGCCGCCTTCACGTGATTGGTGCGCTTGACGTCATTCGGTGATTGGTAGTTAGTGGTGCTCAAAGTGTAACTTTGCCCTTGAGTGATTTTGAACTTCATCAAACCTGATAATCAACGGGGCATCTGGATTTCTAAAATATAAGCTGAGAAATTTTTCATAATGTTCTGTTTACATGCACCCTACTCTTACAGGCATAATTCTTTGCATTTTAATTAATAATGTAATAAAAATCCAAGAGAAATACAGTTAAATTATTTTTTAAGCTAGCAGCAAAGAGTCTCTTTTCGGTGAATTCATTTTCTTTAGCTACACAATCACATTTGTACGCCATTTGCTCACAGAATGGGCCAGTCACAAAACTAATGAGTTACTATGGTCATAGTTGTTACTGTTAATCAATACATAACTGTATTTGAATGAGGATTTTACAATTGCATAATGAGATAAATAATTTAATGAGTGAGATAATACAATCACGATGCACATAGATAAGAAGGGGATTGTGGTATTAAGTAAGAATTCGTAAGGGAAATAAGAGATATAAAGAGTTTAAATAATCAAACAGAGTCGTTACCATGATAGCAGAAGTGGTTGAAAAGTTTTCTTTCGTATGCAGAACTACATTCTCTTTACCTAAATGGCTACAGTTTCAGAATTGCAGATTAAACAAAGCATACCTTCTTTGTTTGTTGGGTTGTTCCCCATTTTGGAGATTATTCCGAGGGAGGACAGTGTTGTGATAATGTGACCAGTTTCAACTGTCGCATTCTATATGGTGCCACTGCCACTTATCTGCAACCATGCAGGATAGGAAACGCGTAGAACGACCAATACACCTGGTTACAATTGAACAGATGAACCGATATATACTCATATAAGTGGAAGTACAAGTTAGTATTCAGTCTACAGATCTACAGCAACCTCTCATCGTCAAAGTTATATTGTTTAAAAGCTTATACGTGTGATGGCTTGCCAATAACACTGAAAATAGTCCAAAAGGAAATTTGTCCCTTACCCATAACTTTGAACTGTTAAAAAAGTACCCGCCGAAGACATTGGCTAGCGGTCGCGCTATATCGTGAATTAGCAGAAATTGGAATTCATGGGCTGACCATTGGATCGCGTCCCAGTGGCTTATTGGTCTAAGAGCTCGCCTTGTAACCAGGAGGTCCTGTGTTCGACTGTTGGTGGTGGGTTCGTGCTGATGAAGCGTTACAGACTAGGCTGACAAAACAGCTAGCTGTTCAGTACTCCCAGGTTTTCCAATGGTTCTCTAACTGATGTCAGTTCATGATGAAATCCTGTAACCAAAAAAGCAATTTGTTTTCACGGATAATATAGAAGTCAAACAGTGTAAAATCTTTACTTTCGGTAGACAAAAAGTTCAGGAATGATTTGCTGAAATAATGAAAATAATTAGATTCAGTACTGTCGCTTAGTCTACTAATCAGGAACAGTCATCATTTAGTGAGACTAAGTAAGCCACGGTTTGCGGTCTTCCCTTATCATTTTGACTAAAACGCGAAGTCAAATGAGAATGCAAGTAACTTTTTTTTCTGAACGACTAAGAAAGCTGGACTAACTGAAAACAGATGAAACTGATTTCTGTCCAAATACTTACTTGTGGAGATAACACCTGTGAGATCACACATTTCTGCAGTGTTGTATCTCGTGTAGTCATTTATGGTATATATAATGTACCTAGGATTCTCAGAGAATATATAACAAGCGCACCACGCCCTCCAACGGAACATGAAGGGAAAACAACGAGTTTGGCTTCCCAGGTTGACATGAGGAAGATTTTGTGGGAGGTTGGTGAACGATTATTGGCAATAGCGGAACCGTCTAGAGAGGACTGCAGGAAACAAGATGAAATAATATGATGTTAAACCAAAAATCAAAGGAAATAGATGATAATTTCATACACTTTTAATAGTGAGCATGCTGAAAGGAAAAACATGAACAATAACAAAATTACAACAATTATGAAAATATGAAAACTTTGTGAAGTTTCAGCAAAACGTATTTTCAAGTGTTGGTTTGCAGAGATTCGACTGGATTGACTACAGGATTTGATCATAAGCTAACAGTAGTTAGAGAACCGTCTGAAAACCTGGAAGTACTGAACAAACAGCTTTTCGCTTGGCTAGTTTGTAACTCTTCATCAGTGCACACCTGCAGTCAGTGTTAAAACCCTGGACCATTCGGTTACAACGCGAGTTCGTAGACCATTAGGCCACTGGGACGCAATCCAGTGGCTAGCCTATGAATTTTAACTTCTGAAAATTCACATGACCACTAAACAATGTCACTGCTGGCGAGTATCTCTCCTCACACCTGACGGTTGGGTGCGTATTGGCAAAGAGTCTCAAACTAGGATAAAACAGCCGTCCAGTACTTCCAGGTTTTCTAATAGTCCTCTAACCGCTGTCAGCTGATTATAAAATCCCATAACCAACAAGCATGTTATTCGTAATACAGCTTTAATAATTTTCATTCAATGTTGTCTCATTTTATAACAAAGACTTATAGTGTAAGCATGTACCATACATTTAATCAGTGTTTAACACAGATTCCGTCTGTCTAACATTGAATGAAGCTTATTTCAACACCGTATTTCGTGTAGCATCTATATCGCACTTAAAAATTTCCAAGAAGCTTTAAGTGGCAGTTGTTGTTACATCAGTTATATTAGTTATTATCAGAAGAAAAGATTATCTAAGGGGGGAAAGTGGTGAATCATCTAAATAATCCACAATTTTCTTTTCACATGAATAAATTCAAGTAAAATAAACCCAGTTCATATAATATGCCTTAATCCATTAATTAACTGATTTCGTTTTACGAGAACATAACTGAAGGCATGAAAGCAGTGTAAATTTACCCTGCAGTAACACAGATTACAGTATTCTAAATAATATAAGACGCTAACATTATTCCTTATTGCTAAAATATATAATTTTTAATTTAAAATTAATCTTTCCACACTCTCATATCAAGTAAGTGGTAAATTAAAGATAAAGAAATCA